GGGGATGATCAGTGGTGCTAAGACATCTGTACAAAAGTCTTACCACATTCTCAAGAACATGATAAGGACTTGTTGAATGTCAAATATCATTATTGCTAATAATAAAAAGCACCATCACTTTTAATTAAGTACCTATGACCTGCCTTGCCTTGTGTTATACCAAAGTTTCCAGAAGCTAAAGTAAGTTTAATTTCACAGTGTTAGAATCAGCACTGACATTTAAACCAGTTTTATTCTAAAGCCAATTAAATTAATGACTATGCTATGTTATCTTTTATAAGTCATATACACTTTAAAATTTGGTTCATTGTAAACACATTTTCAAGATCAATATTCACTCATGATTCAATGACATTAATCAAGATTTGGGTACCCAAGACACAAACATAGATTTAACATGGAAAGAGGGTAGCTCTTCCCAAGTGAGTACTATAATGTACATTCTGCTAAAGAAAATTAGAAATCAAGCAATGTGTCTTATATTTTCCAAAGCACATAGCATGCAGTGTTAAACACATATCGTGTTTTAACCTCAGGGACAGTTGCCATTATTCCATTTTATGACTTCTCACTATAGGCCATTCATGTTTCTTTTGAAACACCTTCATATGTGTCTTTTCCCATTAGACTCTCCTGTCTCTGAGAAGAGAACTATATCTTATTCATGATCATCTCTGCAAATAAGAAATGCCTCATAAGTGAATAAATATAAACTGAGCCCTAAAGAGCAAAATATCTTAGAAGTAAATTAAACAGGGCTTATTTTCTGGAAAGACAAAGTCTGAAAACAGAAGCAAGGTATAAAGGTATAACCAAAGCGTGAAATGGTTTTGTGGACATATGGGAACAAGAGACACATCTGTTCTGTTGGCTGTACACTAAGTAATGCAGATATTGCTTATTTTTTTCTGAAGCCTAAACAGAAAATATGTTTTTAACAAATTTAATCGATACACTGACCTATATTACAAAATAAATAAACCCACACAATAAACAAAAAGCAAAAGGCCAATCAATAGTCAACAGTGCAGTTCAACAGCCGCTCCAGCAGGAAAGTGTCTGAAAAGGCGGCTCACACTCCACTATCTGCATGATCCACACCTGCTCACTATTGACTTGTTGCAGGCAAAGAACATCTATTATCACACGCCAGTGTGGACCTAGCAATTTCTCCAACAAGCAGCAGGCAGTGTACAGCAGCTACGAAACACAGGACAGATATCTACCGAGAGTGGGTTGAGGACCAGTCTCCTCATCCCACAAAGCCAGTGTAAATACCCAAATCCTAAACCCAGACACCTGATGTGTGTTAAAGATTCATGTACCACAGGCTGTCCCATATGTGTGTCTCCACTAGTGGGAAATCTCCAAATTATTAGGCGTTCATATCAATTGTTATGAGCATAGTAAGAGGAAACAGCATTGGTAAGGACAGACATGAAATGTTTAAAATGGCTATTTTCACGAAATCCCTAAAAATGACAACCCTTATATATATGTCTGGGTCTGCGTGTGTGCAGGGGAGATGGATTTATGGGTTTTTTCAATACTGAGAAAGAGAATGGATCTTAAACCCAGGATGCCAATGGGAATGACACTGTCACACAGCACAGAATAGGGACCCTGGATCTGTCTGAAGGTGGAATGGCTTCACCATGCTTAAATTTCCCAGACTTTACTCTCAGTCTGATTTAAAATACCCACTAGAATCCTATCTAAAAAGAATGACCAAATCAGAACCCTTGTAAAGTTTAATTTTTTGTTGTTGTTCTTAAAATGTAGCCCAGTAAGTGTGTTTTTCAGTTCGCTCCCCGGTGGGAATCATCCACTGGGAAGTCAATCCCATTTCCTCTGACTTTCTGAAGAACTAAAGATTCTCTTTGAAGAATGATACTTTAGTGTCCTTCTGTAGATTTTATCCTACATTAACTCAAAATTGCTTCTGGGATGATTAGGCCCATGAAGCCTCCATACTCTTACATACATAAAATGGTGGAAGATCCTATCTAAAACCTTATGTCTAATCAAATGATTTTTTAATGTTTTAATTCCATATAAGAGACCCCCTTTCACACAAGGCAACCTGCACTGGAGAATGAGTGTCACACCTTCACAATCATCATGTCATCATGAGTGAACCTGAAATGCACCCCACTACATCCATATGACTACAATGCTCACACAAAAATAATGGAATAAAGGGAAAACTTCCCCATTTGGTCTATCCATATTTAATGCGATGAACACTTTAAATGGACACTCACTTCCTGGAGGGAACATCTATGAAACAGCATTTTAAAGTTGTCAATCAGGCAATATACTTGGTAAAAAGCAGGAAAAAAAAATACTAAAGTCTTGAGTGACACAAGTAAGAAATACACTAAACTACACATACTTCTTTAGACCCTTACGAGTCATGGCCAGATAAAATGAACTTTTTTTATACATGATGAACTAAAGATATGTTTTGAAAAGTACAAAACTTCAACATTCCCCTGTTGAAAAGGTCTCTATTCTTGGATGTGCAGTAATAAATTGACAGACTTTCATTTGCAGTAACTGAATATCCATCTGTTTCCCTGAGAGACAGCTCATAGAAAAAGAAGTTCAAAATTCTGCCCCCATCCCCAAACACCTTTTGCCGTTAGATTTCATCTCTAACCAGTTCACATGGTCTCATGACAATATTTAAGAAAAAGAACTTTAGATACATACAACTTTCTACACAATGTTCTCTTTCCAAGAATTTGTTAAAGGCTAGATGTCATTGAAGGCACTTATACTATTGAATTGCATTTGTGTTGTTCAGCTTAAATGTAGGCTAAGCATAAGCCTGTTCAACTCTTCTAGTGGCACTGAAGGTTAATGCACCATTTAATATAGACAAAGTCACCAAGAATTTATTAACAGAGGTAAAAGTATAGACTATCATACAGGGAACTTCACTTTGAAGATGTTTGCGAAACAAAATAGCAAATTAAAACTCTAAGGGTTACTGTCAATATAAAACATCATGGTCTATGATGTGAAGCGGTGAGATTCATTTTCTAGGTGAGATAACTGACTAATGCTACTTTGGGAGAAGTTCCCCCAAATGCCTTAGATGTCCATATTTGGATACAGGTTCATCCACTGTAACAATTTTAAGTAACCTATTACTTACTTTAGTATATCTGGTTGGGTTCATTAAGACTTCATAGCTGAACATTACAGTCCTATCCTGTAAATCTGAAGTCTACACATTTATCACATTCTGCAACTAAAATTTACTTGCATGTTTCCTAGTTTCTATCCAATAACAAAAGCCCTGGTACACTCTCCAGGAGAGAGCCAGGAAAGCAGATTCTGTCAGCAATTATTGCTGCTGGGTCTTCTACAAACAAAATCTCAACTTCATTGTTTATAGAATAAAATCCAAAGTGCATTACCCTAAGCCTGGATATCACAGAAATGGTTCTGACGCATGAGCAGTTATTGGCACACAGGAGAGCTGACATTTTCTCAGTCTTCCTTCTAGTTCATTATATACTAGCAAATTGCTCAAGTGTGATCACACACATCCTCGACTCAGACAATCTGCCCTTGACAAAATAAAAAACACTCATGGAAGCTGGAAAAAATCATAGTTGAGTTTTAGCAGAAAACACCTGGCCCTGAGTGACAGAGAGGAACTTATCAATGACAAGAAAATGCGCACATACCTTGTGGAGGTCATGAACACTCGCCGCAGCGGAAGTAACTTACCTTTCTGCCTTTCCTGTGGACAGAGTCTCTTCCTGATCATTTTGTACTTACAACGAGATGTATGTGTGAAGGGAATAAACTTGTGAGGATAAAGAAGCATTATGCCACCAGTTAGAGGGAAAATGCCTTTCTAGTGAGTCCTCTGCAGACAAATTGGAGGGAAAAGAAATAGCATATAGCACAATTCCCCAGGTGCCTTGGATTGGACCATAGCTGCTTGTTTCAGAATATAACAGTGTTTCCAAATCACAAATATGGACAAAGGATTGTCAGTAATACCAAAATACTTGGCAAAAGCAATCTGATGCCAAACCCTTTGGAGACATTGTATCATTTGCATGACACATACAGAGACATATACTTGTATTTAGATGAATGGGTATCACCTAACTTTTTCTTTAGATTATTATTTTTCCTATTTATCCTTAAAGTGTCTTAAAAGAATAAAATATTATGTGGAGCAAAAATCTATCTTGAAAAATAGAAATGGGGACTAAAGAGTTGGGAAATAAGGTATCAACAAAAACCACATACACAAGAGGGACATAGCATTGTAATGGGCCCTTCTCCCTTCTCCCTATAATATGCAAGTAACTTTAGATTTTAAAGCAAAGTTTTACAATGAAGGCTGCATTTATAAAACCAGCAGCTAGCACAAAGTCAGAACCTTTCAGCAAATCTCAGTTGTTCGCTTGTCTTTAAAATGGCCATGTTAGGAAAATACCATGAAAGGAAAGCCGAGACACAAGTTATGGATGCCTATAGCGTTGTCATCTCTCTACCCTCAGGACTAGAATGACTTGTATGAAATCAGTCATCTCATAGAACTAAGTCTGCTGATGTGCATGAAGTATCACTCATGGACAGAAATAACCACAAGCTGTCTTCCACTAGGAACCAAATTTCCAGGTATATACATATGACATGAACAGAATAACTATGCATACATAAGCCAAAAAGATACCAATCAATTTAGGTAGTATGACCTGAATAGTTTCTTTGTTTCACAGCAATAGGTACTCTAACTTATAGAAAATAATGGGGTAAGAAAATGGGAGAACATTTAATGTGATTGAGCAAATAATGTGTTTATGGTTTTCCTGTAAGAAAACTAGTTATTTATTTTCCAAGTTCCTGGAGGACAGAATTAATTAATCAGTCTCTCAAAAGCCATCTTTTTACATATGGTCCCTTAAGGTTTCTCAAAACCTCTGAGCCTCTTGAAAGAAAGCCCCTTATGGAAAGATTGTACTCACGGTCATTGCACTGGTTTCCGGAATAAGATGTCATGGAGCAGTCACAGGTGAATCCTTCCCACTGCTGCATGCAGACACCCTGGTTCGCACAAGAGTCTTCCTGGCAGGTGGTACTGGGACCTAGTAATTCGCGAGAAGAAGGAGAAAGGAGAGAGGAGAGAAATATTAAAAAATAGTCAAAATCAAAGAAATCACCTGCATTTACCATTTTCATGCCTCCAAACATTTAAAAACATATCCACCAAAAATGTCAACTTGATTACATGCAACAAGAATTGATCATACACAAAAGATGACAGAAGTTTACACTTAGCCACAAACTAGCAAAACTTACACACAAAAGGGAGAGGGCTGAACACACTGTTCTTGTTTAGGCAGACTTTGCAAAAGAGCTTCAACTCTGCTACTCAACTAGAAAGATAATCTCACCGGGAGCGTGGTTTTTCTTCATGTGTAATGGGAAAGTAGAAAAAATGCATTGTCATGATTCTAATGAAATAAGAATCCTGAACGAACCCTGAAACTAAATGTCCCTAAGACTACTTTGTGCCATTAAGAAGCCATTTCATGACGATGATGAAGAGAGAAGGAGGAAGATGAGAAAGCACCAGAAATGCATTGTTGTTTTTTAAAAAATGAGCTCAGAGAGGTAAAACATATTTTGTCAAGAATATTCATGTCCACCTTAAGGAGACTAACTTTGAGAAGATGCTTGTAACTACTCCAGGGGTTCTCAAAGTGTTGTCCTCAGGCCAGCATCAACGGCAAATATGTCAGGAGACAAACCATTCCTGACCTAAATTAGTAACCTTGGGGGGAGACAATAATCTGCTTCATAAGCTTCCAGAAAATTCTGATGCAGCCTAAAAGTTTGACAATCATTTCACTATGCCATGCTGCTTTTCAGGTATTTTAGAAGTGAGTCCTCTTAAAAGTACCCTGTGTATTCCAGAGGATTCAAAAGAGAAAGAAAACTAGAGAGAATATTAGTTGCTAAGTTTTCATTTCATTCTTCGTTATTTTATTTTTGTGGGCCATATACTAATAATATATGAGAATAATGATAATCTACATAATTTATTTTTAAAAAGTGTAGCTAGTTTGGAGGCATTCTCAAAATCTTTTAACAATAGAAGTAGAAAATCAAAAAGTATTTGGCTATCTTTGCCTTACAGATTGTCATTAAAAATCTCTCTAAGTCATTCTGGCACTTCTCTTAAACTATTCTCTCTTTTTTTATTCCATATTTCTGCCTTAACCTTGGGCTTCAAAATAAACCCATACCTTTTGAAGTGTCGAGGTAACATATCTTAACGTTCAAGATATGGATTTCCCCAAAAGCCTCAGCAAAGGAGATAAGACCTTTGACTCATCAAATATGTTAGTCAGGAACTAATGCACAAAAGCATTTGGCTGAATTAAAAAATACATATAGCAATTACTGCATGTTTTGCAATTTCCAAGCTAAGCCTCACACAGACTCACGAAATGTAAGCATGCAGTTTCCTAGGGATGCATGTTCAAAAGAGGGGCAGGATTACAAAGGGTTCACCTTCTGGGTGGCAAGATATTCTGTGTTTATTCATGAAAGGTGGAAGCAGCACAAGCTATCATTCATAAGACAAAGCTAGTAGGAGATGACATAAGAAAGTTCAAGACAATTACTAACACCAGGGGACAGCCCTGCTGCTGAGCTTCTGCAGCTGCTATTTGCCATGTTAGTTCCCCCATGTAGAGATGAAAGGAAACACACGGTCATGTTCTCAGTGGGTCTTAAACTTGAGCATTGTGTCATACAAGTTTCATTAAAATGGCAAATCAGGACAGCTTCTTTCAAAGGATAAAAGCTTCTGAGAAGTCCCCAGGGTTCCCTGACCAAATAGCTCTCACCAGACAATGGACTAGTAATTCAATTGTATTCACAATTCAGAAACACATGGAAAGCTTTCCCTTGAAAGGCAGCAGAATAGGAGAAACTTGGGGAAAACACAATAATTCTTTGCATGTTGATTGAGCCTGAAGACAAAGCCTTTCCATGCCTTTTCCTTCCCCACTAACTCCGTAATTTAACCATTTCCAGAAGAACAGTCTGAATGCCTCATTCAGATGAAACACTTCCCAGTAACTTTAAGTAATAATTCTCCTTGTTCTTAGTAGCCACTGCACTTAACTTGTGCAGATGATAATGTTTGATTTTGCACTTTGCCACACATTGCACCATCCTCTGCTTATACAATCAAATCATTTCAAGGTTTTACTATTTATCACCAAAGATCAAATGCTTGCTTGTAGAAATCACGTGACATGCTTTGGCTAGGTCTTTTCTGCACTCGATCTACTGTGCAGATTAGAGAAAGTGTTTCAGTAAATTCTGATCTGATTTGAATGGTACTCACCCCTGATTTGCTTTTCAGCTTATGCGTTTTTCAGAATGGTGTGGGGTGGTGGTGTTCAACCCTGGGCGTCGGAGCATGGCTTTGCTTGGCCAACTAAGCAGAAGTAAAGCTTTCTCATTTTTCAAAGCTTGGTCCGGAATCAAGTATAGAGGAAATTACAGGTTATTTTCAAATTCCTCTGAATTTGATCCTTATATGTATTGAGGAGTAAACACCACGTAGAATCAGATAACTTGGGAAGACTTATTATCTCGTAGTCATCAAAGAACATTTCGCTAGAGACCAGCAGAACACTCAATGACTTTTCATCAGTCTGGGACTGAATGTGTACTTCCTTTGGAGGCTGCAGTCACTAGCCTCCTGCCTTCTGCCTCCAGCTCCAGACTGCTTTCCTTTACCTGCCTCCAGCTTGGAGGAAACCAGCCATCATTTTCCTCTGTCAGGTCCTCTCTAACAGAGTGATGTTCAGGGTTGCCCCCAAATAGGCTGCATCTGGAGCCCCGGTGAAAAAAGCTCCCCTCCAGTCCTCACCCAGACACAGCCACAAGGAGCAGGGCTAGAGATCTGAGTTGTAAGGAGCTTTCCAGGAGGTCCCGGCAGCTGCTGACAGTCCAGGACCCATGCTTATCTTTAAATCTCATTGCTCTTGCTGGACTCACAGCCTCACTGCTGCTCATCTATATTTGCAAATGACTCAGTCACTCTTATTAGTAAGAATTTACTTGCAGAGCTTACCGTCATCAGCTCCTATAAAGTTTTTTACTTGAAACCATGCATTTTTCAAAATGGGTTGGGATGGTGCTATGACCATGTTTTTTCCTCAATGATTAGCCATATTCCATGTCACCAGATACTGAAAAAAAGAACTTCCTTATGTCCCCAAGCCTAGGTATAGTTTGTGTTAAATCAGAGCTTTGGTTACACTCCAAAACATTTTGTAGATGACAATTTTACTTCAAATCGTCACAGTACATTATTTATGAACACAGTATACTTTATGTCAATGGACTGAAAGTACATATTTCATGCAGATATCAATGTCTCAAGGCAAAAAGGAAAGAAAGAAATCTGTTTTGTGGGGAAAAGCTTCAAGAATGTTTCTCATTGAATATCTATTGATGTAAGATTGTCTTGTACAAATCAGAAAGTGAATTCAGTGAGTGCTATGATTTACATAGCACTTATTATGTGCCACACACTGTATTAAATATCTTAAAGCTATTAATCAAGTTAATCTTATTAAGCACATAAAAATGGGAATTAAATTTACTAAGGAATCAGAATAATAAAAACAGTTTCTCCATGGAAGAAATTCAGAATTTCAAAATTAAATAATATGCTGTCAATTGAGCCAGAAGGCAAAGATTTTAGAAAAGTAAACTGAGGCAAAGAAAAGTAAGGTAATTTCTTCCAGATCTTATAGATAAGAAGCAGCAAGGGGAGGTGCCGAACCCAAAGCTGCTAATTCCACAACCCACCGATGTATCCTCTTATGGGTACGGGTGAACCAGCGGGGAGGATATGTTTACGATACCATCAGATTAAAAAAGTAATCTAAACAGAGAATTTCCAAACTACACCCAGAAATAGGATACTTTAATATAAAGTATCTTTACAAAGAAAATGTTCAAATACCACTTCAATTCAAATCAAAATGAACAGGAAGGTCTCGTGTCATCCAATTGTATGATCAAAATCTACTTCAAATGCAAGTGCGTATAACCACGTCCTAAAGAATAGTCACGGTTTTTCTAAAGTACTCTTCCAAATCAAATACCAGATATTCTACCATAACACAAACTTTAAAAATTGTGTATATAATATATATATACACACCTTTTCCTCATCACTATCAGTATTGATAGTTTAAAAATGCATAAAGGCCTTAGGAAAGCCCTGTACAAGGACGGTGAACAGCATTTTTGTATTTGATATGTAATCAGTGATCACAAACATAGTCGTCTTTGTTCCTGAGAAAAGATGGTGACTTCTCTTTGGTGAAAAAAGTGAAAAGGCAACTGAAATATGTCAGAAAATAATACTAAATAAGTTATCAATAATGTTAGTACTTTCGTTACTAACTCCCAGTTCTGTTTTTACTTCACTGGAAAACAAAATTTTGTCTTTTTCTTTCTTGTGGGGGAATTTTCTTGTTTGGTTTTTTTTTAAAGATAATAATCTAATGGCTGTGAAAATTTCCCATCTCTCTTGAATTTGAGACTGATTTTCTCTTTAAGAACTCTAGCAAGCTGTCATTTCATGGCCGATACTCCTCAAATCCACCCCAGCTGCACATGCACCCTGATTTAGTCAACTCCTCTTCATGTTCTAGGAAGTCAGAAGTTGACAGAGTATCTCTTACATGTACTTCCCTGAAATGGAAGTTCTACATGAAGCATAGCACACTGGTATCAAAAAGTATGTGCCCTACCCCAAACATCTGCTTCCAATGTCCCAACTTAAAATGTATAAAGATTACTAGACCAGCACCTGTTTGTTTTGAAGGTAGAACTTATGCCTTGTCACTATTAGCAGGGCACAGAACACTCTCTGATCAAACTTGTTCAGTTGCTTATCTCTTCCTCTTCTCAGGTGGGAGTTTCAAAGCTCACACAAGCAGGGTGAGAAATGAAGACAGTAAGATCTCATATTAGTGGTCATTTCAAACACCTAAACTCTCCTCAGTCCCTTCAACCCTTTCATCACACTGGGTATAAAAGAGGC